TTATTATTATTATTATTATTATTTTCAAACAATATATAGATAGACACACACAAACAAAATGGTTGAGTGATAGCAGCTGAATAGAATAACATAGGTCTTACAACTTCAACGAATCAATAACATGTTCTTCATCTTCCCTCTTCTCTCTTTCTATCTCTTGCTTCTCCATTTTCTCTCTTCTCTCTTCTCTCTATCCCTCTTCCCCCATTTTCAGCTTTTTTTTGTGTGTTTTTTGGAAAGAAACAGTTTGGAACCGTTACGTAATAGTGCGTAACAGGCCGTTACGGCTGTTACGGCACCGTTAAGACCGCTACGGTAGCCGCTACGGCCGACACACCTGTGAATCTCAATCACACTGCAAAAGCGGCCGTAACGGGTGGCGGTAACTGCCAAAACCGTTACGTAACGGCGTTACGTAACGGTTGCGGCCGCTTTTTAAAACATTGCCCGGGACAGATTTGGTGAAAGGTGAACCGTTGGAGCATCTGGTACCAGATTTGATGAAATGAGTCATTTTTTACTCAGATTTGATGAAAAATTTGATTCACCGTTGGAGATACTCTAAGGTATGCCAGTCATCAACATAATATAGGCATTAAAAATAAAATAATTGACCAATCATAAAGGGCAACTTAAGAAGTTTGTCACTTTACCCGAACGAAGTGTACTAAAAATGATTTGTACAACATAGATGCGACACAGAACAAATAGCATATCTCATCATTTAGATAATTTGGTAAATTCAATAACTTAAAAATTTTAAATTTTTTCTTTGAACACCCACCTTAAACCCAAATCTATCCCCATCCCTACCATTTCTCACCACCCTCAGCCTCATCCCCACCCACTCCAGACAGCCCCCAATTCCTCATCCTCATCTCCCAACGGCCCCTATCCCTCTTCTCACTCCCCACGGTCCCCGAGAGAGAAGGAGAGAGAAGATCGCATTTGTAGGTGAAGAAGATGGATGGTAGGAAATGAGGGGTGTCGGGAGAGGACGGGGGGCAAGGGAGAGGCGGGGGAGGGTGTGGCTAGGTATTTTTAGGGCAAATAATTTGAGAAGTTGATAAAAAATTACTATTGACTTCTTTAATTAATATTTATTTATGATGTCAATTCACAATAAAATGACTAAACTATCACTATTTAATTTAAAATATTTATAAATTCACTCATATAGTACAGAGGTTAGAGATGGGAATAAAATTGTAATTTTATGACGGGGTAAAATGGTAATAAAAAAAACATGAAGGGGTGGGGGTACAAAGAAAAGGGGGGCTATTAGCAGCATTCCACAAAAAGTTGTGCTTGTTTTAGTCCATCGACACAGACCACAACTTTAAATGGTTCATTACCAAACAACTTGCATGAATGATCAAACAGTCAATGAATTGTTTTTCTCAGTCATCCTCCCCGGATTGACATCCAAACTTGTCCCTCCTTTCCCTAGCAAATAGGAAATATCAATAATTACATGTGTCTTATCCAACTGATTCAAGCCACCGACCTGTTATCAGCTTAGTGTTTCTCTTTCTCTATGTATATATATATAACATGTACCCATGTATGTATGTAAACACCAATTGTTCATAAACCTCACACGTCACTGCCTCAATGAAAGACTTCTCAACTCCACACGAGTAGTTCCGAATCTTAAAAATTAGTTTGGCCAATTGTTATTTGTTTAAAGAATCTCTCAAAAGTGGTTCTCATGCTTATGCTAGATTGTGGATGGACCAAATACATGTGGTACAGAGAAAGATGATGCATATAAAGGACCACCATGAAACAGAATCCTTCCCCATGTCTCTCTCATCCAATGATTACAGCTGACCATTTTCACTTCTCTCTCAAGCCAAACAGTTATATATGCTCATTATATAATAATTTGTATTTTCAACTATACAGGCTTCTAAACTGCCACACCTGAAACAAAGCTAAGAGATCGAACAAATGGGCTCAAGGCATACTGGTCAAAACATGAAGGCATGGTAAGAGTGTCAAATTTTTCATCACTTTATGCTAAACAGGTCAAAGCAAATAACAGTAACAAATAGTGTCTTAAGGTACGGCAAACATTTCATTACTAAGGCTACTCTAGAGAAGGTAATTTGTCTGTATCCTCCAACTGAAGGATGGACAAATGCTGGCTTCCACTCGCGAAAAGCTGGTGCCTGCAGCCAACTTGCTTGATTAGCAAACGATATTTTGGGGATATGCCAAGATATCATGTCAACTTGAGGGAAACTAAGATTCCAGGCAGCTATTTACTTTCCAGCAAGAAATATGGTCCTTGTTTTAGTTGGAATAATAGCAAATGGAAGAATCAAGACCCACTCCATATGAACCATCAGCAATAAGATCTTTTAAGATTTAGAAGCACAATTTTGAATGTTCATAGCCTCCCAATATAAAATTTCTATGACTACTTTGCGGAAAGTAGAAAAGAATCTTATATGTAGTACGGTACTAGTACAGGTTTAGATATTAAACACAGAAGGAATTGAAACCCACTATTTAGCATCCTTGTTAAGATGCTTTTGAGTCATATTAAGAGCAGAAAATAGAGAGAGAAGAAAGATTCTAGATTCTACTGCATTGGATCATGTCACATAATATTAGGAATCTAAGCAGGAAATGACAATTCGTGATTAAATCAAAGCATTCCCTGCTTTCCTGATGCCTTACATGGGCATGGCAAGGTCATTGTTTCTGTCTTAACTATTAACCCCATGCAACTCTTAGGCTATGTTTGGATCTAGGATTTGGGTAGGTATTTGTGGAGGGAAAAGAAAAGATGAAGGAAATAAAGAAAAATTTTAGCTTTTATTTCATTCACATTTCCCTCACTTTTTCTTTTCCCTCCACAAATCTCTACTCAAATCCTAGATCCAAACATAGCCTTATTATATGTTTTGTTTCCTAATCCAGGTTCTAACCATGCCACATAATGTCTCAGTTCTTGTGACAAGTACTTTTTTTTTTTGGGCGAGTATGACAAGTACTCGTTATGGAAGACTTTGAATTGAAGGTGTCCCTAACAGAAAATAATTCAGAAGATACTTCTTCCATGCTCTCATTCCATTTGGCCTTTAAATATAAGGAAATTCATTGTTTCTCAAGGGATGATGTTCAATGGCAAAATATTATTTTCCTTGATTAACCACCTCAATCTTTAGATGTAAAGTGATTTGCACACCATCTTAAGTCATGATTCCAAAATTTGCTTCACTTTTGATCAATTCTTAACAAATTTATCAATATATAGCAGTAATAAAAGATAAATTCGCACTTTGATTAGGAAGAAAAAAAACTGCAGTCAAAACATAATTCAAACATTGATAAGTAGTTGAACAATTCCTATCTGTCTATCCAAAATGTCGAGAGATTCATTTCATATTGTTGTTGTTGTTGCTGTTGTTTGAGTAGTTGCTGTCCCTTATGTTCATTTTTACTTTTATCATCATGATCTTTGTTAGTCCAACATTGATCTAGCTATTAACTGATGAAGCTAGTGAGACTGGAACCAAATATATTCATTTAAAGCTCATTCCACTCATTTGTCACACATAGATCATTCAAAGTAATAGAACAAACCCTATAATTTTATCATGCACTATGGCTCCAAGGGCACATAGATGACACCCACAAACTCTCATTGTGTTTGGAAATAGTTTTTCAGGTCCATAATTGATATTAACTTATGAGGCTAAAACCAAGATAAGGAAATACGACAAATCCTTACCAAAAAGGTCAAAAGGAAAAGATCATCAGTCCTCGTCAAAAAAGCAACAGATACAAGAGACCCCAGCTACTAGATCTTGGTTATTAATCCCACTATAAATTTAATTGTGTAGAAATATTATTAATAGAAAGGAATTGAATTACCAATAGTTCTAATATAAGCATGTTTTGTTTTTATATAGATTCTCTTCTTTCATGTGTTGCTCACTTTCCTGATTCAATTTGTGGTTCCCAATGGGGGACGGCTAACTCCTACCCTTTTGCAAGATATATTCGCCAACTGGCTGAAGCCCACTACCTTTTCCTCCTGTTTATAAGGAGCTGCCTTGGTAACATCTTTCCCATACCATCCCTTGACTTCAGGTTATCTTCCTTCACTATACAATCCTTCTTTTCCCCTTCCTTTGCTTTTTCTTTTTTATTTAAGTTATTTCGGGATTCAATCTAGTCATTCTTCTGTTGCCATTTGATTTCCAACTCTTTTCCTCACCAGACTAATTCCTTTTTTGTCACCACAAAACCCACTTTGCCTTCTTAGCTCTAGAACAACATTTAAAAACTCAGATATTCGCTGATGGCGTCAAACTGCTCTTCCTCATGTAGCTCCGGCTCTTCTTGGACTCCAAAGCAAAACAAATTATTTGAAAAGGCCCTGGCTAAATATGATAAGGACACCCCTGACCGCTGGCAGAATGTTGCAAGGGCAGTGGGTGGAAAATCAGCAGAGGAAGTGAAAAGGCACTACGAGCTTCTAGTACAGGACCTCAGGCACATTGAGTCAGGAAGTGTCCCATTTCCCAATTACAGATCAAACTGAAACAACTGCTAAGGCAGTGAACATTCTGACCACAGGTAATGCAATAGCTGCTTTCTATCTAGTAACCAGCCGAACAATCACTTTGCTGGCTTTTGTTTACCAGTTTCCTCAGTATTCTTGGTACCATCTCAAGAGAGTTTAACATAGCCATCCAAAATTACCATTAACGATCCATAATAATTAACAAGTATGTTAGTGTAATATTACAATAATGAGGACTTCTAGTTAGCATGCCATCTCTAAGTCATCACTCTAGAAATAAATGTTTGGTACGGGACCACGAGATAAACCAATGAGAGAAGGCCCAAAAGCTTGAAGTTATGTGGTCTACTAATTGCCCCATTTGATCAAACATTTCACAACAGCATTTAATAACCCAATTCCTGGCTACCCACCATTAAAGTTATTATCTTGTTTCTAATTCAAAGAAAATCCACATGAGATCTAATCCTACTCTTTGTTGAGGATAAAATGTCTGTGGTCCTATGGTTTCGAAGTTTTAGTTCAAACAATGCCCGTGTCAGATACAAAGCACCAGTCTCTTTTTTCCTGGACTGAACATAGATCCTCTTGCATGCCCAACTCAATATTTTGTCCCCTTTTCTTTGTTCTTTTGCATCTTTATCTGGTGCTTTTGGCAGCATTGCTACTTTTAACTGAACCACTGAATTGATGTTCTATTTTTTACTTTTCAATCTTGACACTTCAGAAATTTTGTATAGTTTACGTGAACAAAATCTGATTCTTTTTTCCTTTCAATATTATATGAAACAGGCTCAGGAAGTACGTGAAGGTTAATCAAAGTTCAAGTCACAGCTAATATTAGACCCAGAATCAAATGTGTAAAAATTATCAACAGCAGTATTGAAAGACTCTCTCTCTCTCTCTCTCTCTCTCTCTCTCTCTTATTGCATAATTGTAATCATGTTGTATGCCCAAATTATTATTTTTGGGTGACTTTTTTAGCTGCTGTATTTGATTTTCTAGATCAATGACGAAGTATCTACCCATTTACAATATTAAAATTTTAAATTCTGTGTGTTTGATCAATTACAAGTCAGCTAAGATTTTCTGATTTGAATATCGTAATCCACTAACTCTATGAGCAACATTGATAATTAATTTGAATACTGTTAGTAGTATTTGATTCACTGAAACCAAATGCAATGAAATGACAATTGCATCAAAATATTTATCCTCATGTATAGTTGGACTAAAAAATAAATATACTACAAACAGAATCATTTTTTAGGGAATAGTCATTCCATATCCATTTTATTCCATCTCATTTCAATGAGTGCAACACTCTGAGCAACATTGATAATTAAATTGACTCGAATACTGGGGCAAGTGAAATCCGAGATCCATAACCATGTGTATACATGCGCATGAATATATCTATGCATATATACAAAATCTGCAGATGAAGCAATGATATACAGAGATGATGCTTTTAGGGTTTCAGTGGCCGACCTGGTCTCGCGTTCACCATGGTTTGTGTTCCGAGTCTGAAAGGAGATTCGTGTCGGTGAGACTGTTCATCATCAATTCGAGAATGTTAATGCGGAGAGTCCATTGCAGTGACGAACAAATACAATCTTGTGAAATAGGAGAGCTAAATTTAATTCTTAAATTATGTTTTTAAATAAAACAAAAAAACGTAGAGAGAATTTAAGGCGGGAAATTTTCTCAATGTAAACAAAATGTGACTCCACGCATATGGCACACGATTAGAATTTTGGAAAGATGCGGCTGTTTTGCAAGTTGTTTTTTTTTATTTTTTATTTTTAAAATAATCAATAAAAATAAAATAATTAATAAGATAAAATGTTACATTTAAATTATAATCATTTTATTTTTCTCTCATAACCATCAAATCAATTATCAAAAAAAATAATCAAGTTTTTAAATATAATTTTTTTAATCAAATTAAAATAATCAAAAATTAAAAAACTAACTACAATAGCGACCTTCCCAAACAAGCCCATAATGAAAATATTATGGTGATTGTGGAACTTATAAAAATGGAGCCTAACAATAATATAATAAATCCTCTCAAATAAATATAAATAAAAAAATGACTTATGTGATAATAATTATATTTATGTGACAAATACATTTAATAAAAAAATAATTAAATTTGTTTGATAATATAATTCATAAATTTTAAATGACACGTGAAATATAGGTTGCAAGAAGTTGAAAATTTTTTGTTAATAATTTTTGTTGTTAATAATAATTAAATTTATAACTGTTTTAGTATCTACATGTGTTATTATGACATGAATAATGTTAAGAATATCAAATTTTCTATTAAATAAATGACCAAATGTCTCACATGAGACGTATAGCATTTTCCTTATAACACTATCTTTACTATTATTATCATCATTCCTACCATCATTATTACCACTATCATTACAACAATTATTGTCACCGCCATCGCCTCTCCAACACCCTATTTTTTGTCACTATAATTGTCATCATCGTTACTAGTGATAACTCATGCTATACATGAGACTTTATAAATTTTTTTAAAAAATCATTATAATTATCTTGAAGTAATTTAATATTTTGTCTTGTGATACACATAAAATTTATAAATTAGTTTTTATGTTTATAACTTTTTTAAATTATTAGTTTAAAAAAAATAATATATATATATATATATATATGAATCTATTTAGTGCAATTTTGACAATTTGTATTAAAAAAATTTAACCTGATTAAATGGAATTAAATGAGTTATGATATATCTTTTCTTATTATGAAAATATATACAAATTTAAAAGTTACAATTAAGACAAATATACAATTTTATTATTAAATGTGTGTGGGTGAAAATCTGACCACACTGCCTGCTTAGTGATCAACTGGAGAGCACATGCAGAATAGATGGCTTCAGTAACCTGTAACAGAAAGAAAAGGCTCCGGCGGTGGTTCTTCCACCCGGGGGCACTCCGACGATCAAGTCAGTATATCTCTCAAAGATAATCAAGTGCTAAACTTAATACTCAAAACATAAATTGCATACCTTAGACCCACGGGGGTACCTCTCTTTTATAATCTATTCAATCCAAGTCTTACTAGAAGTATGGCTTCTATGAACTCTAATTCAGTGCTTATTTTGGACTCCTTAAGAGATAAAGATAAACTCCCTAAGAGCTTTATCCTTATCTTGGTTAAGTCCCCTCTTCGTCTTAGGACTCTTGTCCCTTATTCGCTTATCTCGGATTCCGATATCTTCGGAGATAACCTCGGCAACTCCGAGATCATCTCGGCCTAACTACCACGACACGTGGCACCTCGGCTGACACGTCGGCGTCACCATGCCACGTGTTGGTATTCAGAAAATACATCCCCACAAAATGTAAAGTGAAGTGATATTTAACAGTAATTGATATGATGTTTCTATTATTAATCCAATAATTTAAGTTACATTTTTTTTAAATTTCAATTTCATAACTAAAAATACAATATGAATATAATACACACACGAATTTATAGTCTTTAAGAATAAGAAAGGTTTCAAAAAAAAAATCAACATCCATCATTTTCTTTTAATTTGTTTTTTTACCTAATTTGATTTTAAATTTGAATAAAAATTTTGATTTGATATGAATTATTTTAACTTTTTCATTAAATTTTTATCAATTTTTTGATTTGATATGAATTATTTTAACTTTTTCATTAAATTTTTATCAATTTTTAAAAAAACTTTCATTCTTATTCCAATTTATTTTCTTTTCATCCATTTTGATAAAAACAATATATATAATTTTCAACGCTTCATCTTTTTAAATTTTTATCAAATTATAATTTGATATAAAAATATTAAGGGTTGAGAATTCTCTTAATTGGAATTATAGTGAAATAACATATTGAAATAGTAAAAGTTTGAATGTGTGGTTGGTTGAAATCTATAATTTGATTAATTCTCTTCTCATATTTGTATAAAAATTGACATTTATGACTATATCATCATAAGTTGGATTATGGAAACTTTTTTAGGTGTCAAACATTTTTCATTTGTAAATATTTTACCTATTGAAAAAAATTTTAAAAAAAGTGTGTAGCTTTTGGATATGTATTTATCAGTTTTGTTTTGTGGATATAAACAATTAATGTTTCAATTTTAAAATTTAAAAAGTACAAAAATAAATAAAAAGAATTAGATTGGGTTTTTTGCAGATAAAAAAAGTCATCTAACTCATCTATATATTTAAGATGGATTATTTTAATCACATAAAAAAAATAAAAATTATATTTAGAGATTATTCATAGATATTATGATATTATATATAACTATAGTGGTAACAAATTAACTATAATATACATGAAAAGTTATACTAAGCTTTCATTTTCAATTAATTGAATTATAATTAACAAACTAACAAATAACAGTAATTGTATAATGGTATAGAAAGAGAATAAAAATAAAGAACACAGTGATATTTAAAATTTTAAAATTTAACTAATTATACAAAAATCTAATGTTATAATAATATCTTGAATTCTCAATAAATTTTCACATTTTCTATAAAATAAAATAACAATAAAAAATAAAAATTCGATAACTATTTTTTTTACTTTAATTTTATAGTCTTCATTGAAGAAAATAAAATCCGATCAAAATACTTGGCACAAAATGAGCATAGATATTTCGATTGCAACCATCATCACCAATAATTATACTCTACCATACAAACATGTAAACAAACACATAAATCTCACTAAAACCAAAACCAAACCAACAGTAGAAAAATATAATCACATAGGGAAAAAAATTAAAAAATAAATAAATTTATGGAATGGTAGGATGTTACTTCCAACAACTTATACCTCGACCAGCCCAATCTGTTAGCTCCTCCGCCAATGCCTGCAAAGTCTAAGAATTGGAATGACTAATCAAATTATTCTTTAAATAAAACTTGAAAATTGATTAATTTATCTCATTAAGTGATTTAAAATTTTGATAGATACATTAAAAAAAATAATAATTATATTACTAAATCATAATTCAAATTTAAATATTGTCATATCTTTTTAAGATCCATATCTAAATTCTTATCTTCTTTATTTTTGTGTAATCTCTATTTGTTTTTTTTGTTTTTTCCAATTTATTTATTTGTGGTTTCAATTTGTTTTTAATTATTATTTTTTATGTAAGTTATTATGTGAGTTACTGAAAAGGAGATTTATGAGCTGGATTGAACCGCGGTAACGGCGGGGCAAATTATGGGCCGAACATAATTGGGCCGTGGTAGCATGGGCCAGTCCAGAAAGGTTTTGCTCGGTTAAGGCAAAGGGCATGTGTGGACCGAGCTACTTGGCTTCTTGGTGCTGAAACCGGTCTACTAGGAGTGCGGCTGGGCTGTCCGCCTGCCTTTGTGGTTTCCACGAAGGCACGCGTTAGCTCAGCAGAAGGGCCAACGGCTAACCTGACCGACCTCTCTCGGGCTCGGCTCATCGGAATGCAGCCGAGCTCGATTGTACAGGAGCTCGGCGAATGGATCATATAGGTATGCCGTGCAGCGTGGTCAGGTTAAACCGGTGAGGTTCCGCCGATCTGCCGAGTTCCGCCGAGGTATCCTAACAGATTGGTTAGGTGGTGATTGCTGGATTTGTGCTGACTGATAAGATAGTAGCACCACGTGTTGAGAGACTAATGGGAGTAGATTTGGGGTGCAAAAGGTATATAAGCATGTCTGCGCCTCCCATGCTGAGACAAATGATCATTTGGTGAGAAAAACACTTACACTCAACTCTCCTTTCTCTCTCTCTACCTGAGTGTGTGCTAACTTGACCGTCGGAGGGGTTTTCCAGCCACACACCGCCAGGTAGCTCACTGCCGTTGTGTTCGTAGGGCGATCGGACAGACAGAGAGCTTGGAAGAAAGGAGTACGGGCTCGCCGGAATATTTGCTCCTCGTACAATTGGCGCCGTCTGTGGGAAGTTGACAAACAAAACCTTGTCTTCCAGGCTCATCTGATCGCCGTCCATGGTGAACAACGACGAGATTCCGTTGTCTG